TGGAAGGGCAAAAAGAAATGAAGATGTCGAAAAAAGAAAAACTCGCCTCGCAGAAATGCAACGCAGGTTTCTTTTTTTTACCTTCTTCGGGTCGTTGATTGTAGGGGAGTAAGGTTATTTGCCGTCTATCCTTCGTCAAAGGATTTTCCATCTCATATTTATATTTTCTTGGGTTGAGTGCAGGTGTGACAGACTGTAACCTGGGCCGCATTTAGACGCCGGGCAGGTGAATATAAGACCACTGCGTATCATCAGTCGAGGGACGACGAGACCGAGCGGTGGACACTGAGCGGCAGGTTGGTGCGGAAAAGCGAGACGATGTGTTCATGGCGGTGAGCTCCTCGTCGTAGATGATGATGGACGGCATGTTCTTGCTGTAGATGTCGGAGGTCTTCCTACTGCTCCCGCTGTCGCTTTGGCTGGTGCTGCCACTTCTGTTCCTGTGAGGAGAAGAGTTGCTCCTGCTGCCACGGCGGCTCCTGACCTTGGAACGCCTGCGTGCAGCGTCGTTTGACCAGTTGCCGCCCATCTCGGAGCCGCTGTACGTGGTGGGGATGCAGATGTGCGGAATTTCCTTGCTGCCACCAATAGTCCTGGCCAGAGCCATGGCAGATGTTCCTCCGATGCTAATGACACAGTCTCGATCGGTGATGCGGGCTACAGCATCATCAACGATCTTTTGGGGCACGTTGACGAGGGCCGAGTCAAGGATGCGAGAATCGAGGTTCGGGATCAGGGTCTGGATGCGGCGGGCGAGGCTAATGCAGGACGGGCTGGAGACGATAAGCGGCGTCGCAAGATGCAGACGGCCAAGTTCGCTGGGTAGACGAGCGATTGCGTCTGGGCCGTAGACGATGCGGGGTGAGAACGAGGGTAGCGATGGTGAGGGCGGTCTGTCTTTGGAGGCGGACGACGCTGAGCAGATAGAGACGGATGGGGACCCGGTGGCAGGCGCACCCGAGATGGATACGGGTGGGCTAATCTGAGTGCAGGATGATGATGGCGGGGATGGTTTTGTTAGGTTTGTTTGATCGGTGCTCGTCGTCGTCGTCGTCGTCGTTGTTGTTGTCGTTGTCGCTGTCGTATCCGAGGGCTTGCTGACAAGTTGAACAGGAGGCGGCGGCGGCACGGAGAAGGAACTGCTCATGACTAAATCTTCCGCAGCACCTTGAAAGAGGCCGTTGAGGTTGAAGGACGTCGGAAGCCGTGATGAGGCTCGATCCTCGGGACAGGTCTTTGGGCCGGAGATCGAAGAGCGCTCATTGGCAAGAGTCAGGACCAGCAATATCCACCTTTGCCGGACCCTTTGCTCCCCACCAGACTTTGGTGGAGCCACTTGGAGGGTTCGATCAAGTGAGATGTGATGGGCTGGGCGGCAAGGAGGGTAGCCTTGCAGGGAGTCGGTCGATCAAACGCTGCAAATGATGGCATCTCTTCTATCCCATGACATGCTGTGGTTGTATGCGAGCAGCAGTGATTGTTTTCTATTATGCTTCACCATGGCGGCAAAACTCGCAGGATGGGAATTCTGCCTTCTCCATTGCCGCCATTGAGTTTCCACTAGATTGTATGGACCAGCCTCGGGCTGATTGGTTGCATTTGTCGTGGGCGACAGAATGACGATGCTCTCGGGCCAGAAGCCCCTGATGTTCCAGAACAATGGAAATAGAGGGTAGCATCGCCTGAAAAGCCTGAATTCAATCAACCACTACCCACGTAATTATGATGGGCTGTACGTCAATCAGGACCCTGGTGGTGTGTCGGATCATTTTTAGTGGTCAGTGCGCTGTTCGCACCTGACAGCCTGTGGCAGGTACCGCCTTAGGTCCGCGTAGGGCTGTTCGCCACCCGTACATTAGTGAGTTACACAGCCAGAACAGCTGCTCAGTCAGAGTGCGACTTTTAAGCACCAGCGCCAGACTTTGCTGACTATTACCTCTAGTTCAGGCGCTCAACAACTATGGCCCAGTAGAATTCAAATGCTCTGGGACTAATGTCAATACTTCTCCGAGGACCTGAAGGTAACATGTCTCTTCGATGCATCGGAAGTAATAGCGAGTTCATTTCTCCACTTGTCTATTGATCTCCTTGTTCAGCTCAGAGGCGAGTTTCTCAATACTTGGAGAGACATCGCCACTTGGAAAAAGTCGACTCTTAATCCGATTTCGCCAGCGTAGATCAAGTACTCTCAAGTACATCATATGTCCCTTAAATTAGGGGGAAAGTTCTGCTTGACACTTAGAAGACTTTGCCACTGAGCAGAAATCCACTTGAAATCCGATATTCCAGTACCTCGCCAAGTCACCGAGAGTAATGCCTGAATAAAATAAATAACTGGAGAAACTGTGCTGTAGCTTACGCTACTTCAAGGAGAGCGAATTACCAATTGTTTCAATTCTACTCAATTGGTAGCTTGTGGCGAATTCCTTCCTGGTAAGCAGGCAAGTGGGTTGAAAAAAGGATGAGACACTAAACCACTGCTGGAGTCACTCTCACCATTACACCAAGTATTCGCATTGAGGTTTATCAACCAACTATGGAATTTTTTAGCTCAAAAAAAAAGCATGAGAAATCTTTGAAGGCTGAAAATTGTCTGTATGAATTATTTCATAAAGGTACTATTATATTGCTGCATCTGGTGGCCAGAAAGGAGCCTGTGTAGTTTGGAGTCTCATCCTTTTTTCAACCCACTTGGCAGGCAAGTAGAGAGTACAGATCATCAACGCTTAAACATCAACCTTACATTACTTTGTGCTGTACACAAAATATTACTCCCTTAGTTGATTCTATCAGTTAAATTACTACCCTGTAAATTATTGTCTGCTGCTTCCGATGCTTCAAATTGTGGCATAATTTCCGGGTCCTACAACAGCCCGTTGCCGTGTTAGTTGCATCACCCCAACTCTTTACGGATTCTCACGGAGATTCGGTCTACGCATTGTTCAACTTTAACACTGCAATTCCATCATCGGATAACCATAATACCTCCAAAGCAAAGATGGCCCCACGCGCGGCTCCGCCTCAGGCTAAGCCATATAATGAGATAGACTGAGAGTGTAGATGACCGATCTGACAAGAACCAAAAATAAGAGCATCCCCCTCAATGAGGATAGATTACAAGTTGTCCTCCCCTTTCTACCTCCAGCAAATCATGCAGGTGCTTTTGAAGAGACATGGGATTAAAGTCGCCGAAAACAAATGTGCCGTCGGATGAATATCGCCCTAAAAAGTAAAAGTGCGTCGGCAGAGCATTGTTTCAAGAGCAAGCAAAAGGCCGGCCGGCCACCAGCGGACCATTGATGAGCCCTGGTGTCTTCAAAGAACCAGGCATCAAACAACATCGCAGCAAGCTAGCTATAACGTGGAAGGGCCAGAGAACGATCTACCGGGAGCTCGGGCGCCACTGTCACCCATACAGTGCTATGAGAGCCAGAACTCTGTCAAGAATAAATGCGCCCGACAGCACCCCGCGTAGAGAGCAAAAGAGAAATATTATGGATTTGTTCGACGGTATCGTCGAACTGGGGTCAATAAACCAATAAATCGTGTCGACAATACTTCCTGCGGCCTCACCATACTGCCCTATGACATGACACTTAGGTTCTGATGCTTTTCCTGTAGAGAAAGCACAAATTCAATGAAGGCGTTAGACCAAGATCAAGGACCACCTGGAGCACATAATTGAGGTTGCTCTGGGGCGAGCTCTTTAGCGGATTCACGGAAGATATTTCGATAGTCAGCTTCCAGAGAACATGATCTCATGCTTTGGCTGAATCATGAACCAGATTCTAGAATATCATGTACATCTCGTCGCCATCATCGTCAAATTTTACGAACAAAAATTCGGGGCTAGTAAGCCATGGAATTAATACCTCAAAAATATTCCTTTCTATCCTTTCCCGCCCGCTACGTTCATAGTGTGATGACTTGAGCGATGTAGTAGCTAGGCTCTCAAAGAAAAATCTGGTGATCGCGAGCTTACGCCACAGGGAACCGACGTCTCCTCAGCCAATCTCTGATGAACATCTTTAAGGTACAAGTTCATTAGCGGTAGATTTCTGCTGGCGAAAGGCTTGCAGGGCTGGCTACATATGCAAAGCCACCACACTTAGGTAGGAGATGATTCTCCAAGCTAAGTGACTAAAGACCTGGGAAAACTGGATTCTATATTAGTTTACGAGATGAATGCAGCCTCATTGATCTAGCTTATAGCAAGAAGTGTTCTCAGAGTCCTTCTCTTTTCATAGCCGCAATCTTCTCAGGCGGGCGTTTTTGCAATAACATGAAAGTGGTGATGTGGGTAATGCGCCAGGGGTATGTCATTGACATCAATCAATGGACCACCACAGCGACAGTCAATTACAAGCCCCAGAAACCGGGGTAAAAAGCTCACGGGAATGGCGTCGCTGGTCGTTCAATAGTTTGGCTGTCAAGCTGAACAAGGTGTGGCTGCAGACCGTTGAGCAGGTAATTACGGGAATGCAGGCGCCAGCGCGCGAATTTAATCTCCTCCATATTTTGGTGGCTCCCATCCCCTGTGCACTTATCACGGATCATCACGAACTATTGACTGTCAAATGCAAGCCAGGCAATCTACACACGTGGGCCAGTCCACTCTAGAACTGACTTCACCGGACGCAGACATACAGACGGGATGAGAGCTCACGGTGTTTAGGAGTTTGGAACATTTCATTTATTCATTCAGGTGAAGAATTATGTACTCGTGAGGTAGATCTTTTAACCATCGAAGACGCGTCTATTAAGAAATAACAGTGATTTATGCACCACAAATATACATTAGAACATATATATGTGACGGATCTGCTTGAAACAAAAACAACGGGACACCACCATTAAAAACAACGAGTCGGAACCAAAGAGGCAAGGAGATGAAAAGAGGGAAGTCTTTCCGCGTACGGTACACTGTCCTTGCCCCTTTGTGCCATATTCAATGCGGCCCCCGTCCAGTCCGTCATTCATTCATGAGATGAAGAGAGACTTTACAGAAGAGTAGCAAAGAGGGCACCGACAAAGACGGCGACGAAGGCAGGAGCGTTGGCAAGAGCACCGCTGGTAGGAGCGGGAGTGACGCCAGTGGTGGGGGCGTTGGGGGAGTTCTTGCTGGTGAAGGAGGTGGTGAGGCTCTGGCTGGTGCCGGGCAGAGGAACAATGGTGGAGTTGCTGCCCCAGGTAGGGGGGTGGCTCTGCTGAGGCTGGTTGGGAGAGTTACCGCCAGTGGTCTGGGGCTGGTTGGGGGAGTTTCCACCAGTGGTCTGGGGCTGGTGAGGAGAGTTGCCGCCAGTGGTCTGGGGAATGGCGGGGGAGCTGCCAGAGGGCTTGGGGCCAGAGTTGCCGCCAGTGGGCTGAGGCTGGTTGGGAGAGTTGCCACCGGTGGTCGAGACGCCGGGGGCAGCGGTGCTGGGGACACCGCAGCCGCTGCCAACGCAGACGTTGCCGCCGGGGAGAGTGTGGATGTCGCTGGAGGCAGGGCACCAGGTCACGGTGACGGTGCTGACATGGCCGACGGGGCAGTTTGTGACGGTCTCGGGGCACTTGGTAACAGTGTAGGTGCTGTAGCTGGTCAGGGTGAGGGTAGGAGTAGGAGTGACAACAATGGTCTCGCTGGTGACGGAACCGATGGGGCAGTTGGTGACGGTCTCGGGGCACTTGGTGATGGTGTAAGTGCTGGTGGTGGTGAAGGTGGAAGTAGGAGGAGCAGGGACAGTAGTAGCATCGCCGCCGTTGCCGCCGTTGTTTCCTCCATTGTTACCACCATTGTTGCCGCCGTTGTTACCACCGTTGTTACCGCCATTGTTGCCTCCGTTGTTGCCTCCGTTGTTACCGCCGTTGTTTCCTCCGTTGTTACCACCGTTGTTACCACCGTTGTTGTCATCATCATCACCATCATCGCACTCGTCATCATCATCGTCATCATCACCACCGTTGTTACCACCGCCGTTGTTGTTGTCATTGTCGTCACCCTCATCATCATCGCACTCGTCGTCACCAGCGCCAGGAGTCTTGGTGGGAGTAGCGCCAGTGGGAGTACCAGTGGGAGTGCCACTGGGAGTGGGGGTCACAGAAGCGACGGCAGAGGTGGTCTTGAAGTGACGGACCTCGTGGACGGCAACAGCCTCCTTGAAGTCGAAGCGCTTGACGGCAGAGACATCCTTGGGGACAACTGCGGGGGTGAAAGCTTGGGCAGCAAGGGGCAGGCCGCCGAGGAGCATAAGACGAGGAAGCATCTTGAAGGTTTGGGTTGTGTATGAAGTTGGCTGAGCCGGTATTACTTGAGTGATTTGGGTTGGAGCTTTGAGTATTATTACGGTGACAGAGATAATAAAGTCTGTCTACCAAGCGAGTGTAGATGGAATAGGAAAATCCAAAAAAGAATGACTGACACCAAGAGTTAGGCTGAACAAAACTTCAACTGAAGAAAGAGAGGGCGGAGAAAAGAGGGATCGGCGGATGCTGTGAGACTATATACTCAGTCTTGCCGCTGCCCAGAACACTCGCACGCAGAGAGATACGCACACCCCATGCGCCTCAGCGGGTAGTCCTTTGTTTGTCTGTGTGCCTGCCGTGCCTGACTTAGACCCACGATGCAATATTACCCAACCGAGAGTGGTGAGCAGGTATGTGGTAGCATCCCGGTCATGCTCGACAGGCACCAGTTCCTACTTGGGCCAAGGCATGCGGGTTGGCGGGCCTCTTGGACCTTGTGTTGCGAATCCCAGTCTTCTGCGTACCCTCTGCTCGCTGACTTTCCAATGGGCTCGTCGTCCTCGTGGACAGTCCGAGAGAGATCTAACCAAATAGCGATCATCCACTTAGACGCAAGCCATCTAGAGCGCTGATCCTCCCCGGAAAGGGGCGTTCCTACTATCACGACTGCCCACTATTGAACAGACTGACCGATTCTGCTTGGCAGAGGCCGTAATCACGCCCAGCTGAACCTCTCAGGAACCAGACGATGTGATGGGTGTGTCGTTGGCGGTTGGCTGTGTACGACCCTGCCGGGCGCCACGTATTACATGCTCACGCCTCTGCTCTGATTGAGCGAAGCCCGCAAATGAAGCGCTCATTTGGGCTACATGACATTGCTGCTTAAAATACCACTCACTGCATTGCCTACTCTGTAGAATACCACCATCCACCTGCCGCGAATAGATGCGCCCCTGGCCCAATCCAGTAGGGCTTACTTTTGCTCGCAATCAAACTCTCGCCCTTCCCCTCACCCCCTGCCAGCCCAGCGACGGGGCCTCCCACAGGCTAAGTCCGGTCGCTGTGGAACGATTTTTCTTAGTCGATGGGCTCTGGCCGTGGTGAGTTGTGGGGGTGGCAGAGGCTAGAAAAATTCGGCGTCAGGGGTTGTGATCCATGGAACGAATCATGGGGAGCCAGATCACGACTCGCTGCTCATTGGATCGTTACAGCCAGAGACATGTGTGCTCCTGTCTTTCGACGGACGAGAAAAACAAAGCACGCACGGCTCCTTGTCCTCATGTGTTGTGCTCTTTGGCCCCTCGCGCGCTTCCGCTCTTGGGACCTTGGCTGTTGGCTGGGTACATGTAGGGGCTTGGCTCGATCATCCACTCGGAGTCGTCGGCTGGTTCCTACGATACGAGGGGGGAAGGGAAGGGGGCAGGGATCGAGGACGGATTCCCAAAAGGGCCCTCAGCCCAACAGCGATGCTCGCTCGCTGAGGGATGCTTGCCAATCAAGGCGCCTGGACGGCGCATGGTTTGATTAGATCACGGCTGAATAATGCTCACCTGTCTTGGTCCTCGGGGTTTCCCCTTGCAGCCTCTTTTCCTCTTGAGCTCTGCGAGTTGCCTGCTCGGGCCTGTACCTTGCATCAAGTGGCAGGGCAGGGCAACATAGAGACAGAACCCCCAGCCCAGAGAAGCATGAATCCGCCACAGCGGACTCGTGCTGGGAGCTCGAATCTCGTGGGCCACCATTGGCCAGTCGCTCGCCCGGGTCTCAGACAGAAGAGAACAGACCGAAAGCTTGGACCGAAGGAAGGGCGCCGGTCTTGGGCCTTTGTCCTGTTCTGGGGCCTTTGACCACTCACTTGCCTATCTCGCCTCGCCCAGTTGCTGGGATGTTATTGCACCCAGGTCGTTCTCTCGGATAAGCTCCCGTGCAACTCACATCTCCTGTCAGCACGTGGCCATGGCCAGAGCATGAATCATACAGCATGAGGGCAGTGCGGCTGTCAATTGATGCGAGCCTTATCCCAGGGCCGGACCTGGGATTATGTATATGCAGTCACACGAACGTCGTATTGGGGAAATTGTGGTGGCTAGTCACGCTGCATACATTATGTATACCGGCCACCTCGGCACCTCGCTTGGCGGGAAGAAGGATTCCTGCTATAGAATGAGCGAGTGCGAGCTCTCGCTCTTTGGCTGATTACCGCATGCATTTGATCCGACACCACGCTCCGCTCCCTCTCCCGATATTCCTTGACTGCTCATCCCTTGTGTGGCAAAGCAGCACCCCGGCCAACCACCGTAAATCAAAAGCACTTTGGTCTGTCAAGGTTATTTATTGTTCTTTCTTTCTTATTGATGATGATATAATATTATTATTATCCGAAGGCCCTGACAAGTGCGTTTCATCAAACACCGATCTGGGCAAGTGCGGCAGCTTTGACAATGATTTTGGATGGCTCAACCGTGCAAACACCAACCGTCACCTCAATTTTACGTCTTACGGTAAGAAAGTAACCATCAATGCCGAACGCTGCTATTTTGGTGGCCTCCTCTTCTTGCTTTGTGTCCGCCCTTTGTCTCTCTACCCGTTACATCTCAACAGTGCCGTATTCATGCGACTTCCTTGTGATTCCAGATCTTTGACTTGTCTCACCTCGCGTCAAATTTCCGCTGCATGAGCCGTGTCTCAGTCTCAGACACTATTGTGATCTGCTCAAGCTGCTCTTCTCCCCTTGGAGTTGCACCCGTCTGTTGATTGTTCACGAGCTCGTGGCGAAACGTGCGTAGAATCTACTTAGCGGACTCCATCATTCGAGTCGCCAAATCCACCCATCCCCAGGCAATATCCTGCCCTCCTTGGCCTTCGGTTAGTCGCCGCCCTGGCCGGAAGATCCCCGTGTGATACACGTACAAACGTGTTGGGCCATATGGTGAATGAGCAGCAACAGGGTGCTGCATGGTTGCTCGGCTGCCTCTTCGCGAACATTGCCTCCCCGAGAACTAGTCCCCTTGTTGGCGCTAGGCGGAAATGCTGTGCTAGGGAGACGACTCGGGTCGAGGATGTATGTCATGTACTACGTAGACCATCCGGCCAGCAGTATGTTCATACCTCGCACGGGGTGTGAGATCGTTGAAAGAGCGCCGTTGTGCCGGATCTGCGTTGATTTTCTTCAACGTTCTCGAGAGATGAGAGCCTAGAGCCAGAACCTGGCTGCCTGCCGAGCAGATCGTGTCTTTAGCTGGAGCAAGGGTATTAAAGATCCCGGTCTCGATGTCGTGGTACCTGGTCAGCCTTTCCGGTTCCTTGCAGCGACGTAACGTAGCCCCCCGCGAAGAATCATCAACAAGCCATCTTATTTCGCTTCCAGTCCTCCCATGTCATTATTTGCAATAAGTCGACACCGCCACTCCGAGACCCTGACACTGTGTTGAATGAAATGACCTTGTTTAGCCTCCTTTAATATTCATCAACGATATCAGAGGTGCAAAAGTGCTGATGATTCAGAGCACTGATCATTGACACATGGCTCAAGTCTCTCATCTATGTCCAGTCTATATAAAGTAACGGCTTGTCCAACACAACAAGATCTACTATAAAATTCAAACTAGGATCGCAGCCCTGGGGCAAGCATGAAGTAATCATCCAGGTCTTACTGTGAACGATTTGTAGATTATGGCTATTATTGACAAGCAGAAGAAGCGCACTCGTAATTCATGGCGAGCGTGTTTATGGTATCCGGCTCTGATGAATCAGTTTTTTAATAATAGATGCTGGAATTGTGTCAGACACATCATGGTCACTTATTAGATAGATGAATAATGTCTCACTGTTTCCCGTACTTTCTGGAAAGATCTCCTCATCCTCCGTCTTCCGCATTCCTGCCCAATGATTCAGGCGCTCGTGGCGCCACCAAGAATAACCCGAGAGTCTCGATGCATTGAGGCGTTCGGAGTAAGCAACCTCATTGGGGCGAAGGGCATGAATCTCGTGTTCCCGATGGGAAACAGAGAAGTGCTCACTAGCCACCCAGCCCACCGTCACGAAGCACACGGCGAGCACTGGTTTCAAGTGCTCTCACAAATATCATGTATACTCGGACGCAACGAGGTAGTGGTTATGGGTCAAATATTCTCTGATTATTGCAAATCAACCCTCGTGGTATTCATTCATTCAAACCTAGCACTCTCTTTTTGTGGTAGCCATCCCAAGATTAGCATCAATATCAACATGAAGGCAGAGAAGCAGGCAGGCAACTTCCAAGTTCAACGATGCTATTTTGAGTGAATGTATTACTTACTTAAGAATCTCATTATATGTCGTTTGACTAAGAGATGCTGCCGGAAGTAAATATTTTGAACAGTTGAAGTTATTGCCGTTAACATAGGATGAGGCTCATGTTGAACACATGCCATAGACATCATAAAATAATTAATGCTTTTACAACACTAATTAAATATCGCCGCAGAACTAGAATTAATCTCAAGAGCATAGTATTGCTACTTTTGCGATCTAGATATTTAGAGGTTGCTTTAAGAAAACCGTTAAGTTGTTGCTGCAATGCAGGAATTGATGGTTGAGCAAGAGCATAGGGTAGGCCATGGAGATAGACTTGATCAATCACATGGGAGACATTTGATCGCATCAAGTGATGACAACGACAACAATGACCCAGAGGGCAAGTCTAGTTAAACTTCAAATTAGTCGCCGCCACCACCGCCGCCATCGCCTCCTCCTCCGCCTCCTCCATCTCCTCCATCAGCACCGCCATATGCGTTCCCTCCATCGCCCGAATCGTAGGAGCCTCCTCCATGACCGTTGCCGCCGTCGCTGGTGCCGCCCTCTTCGGCCATTGCCCATTGAGAATCACTGCTGACACCTGAACCTCCAGCTCCGCCATGCGGATCACTCGAGGCATCACGCTTCTGAGACACATTGGTCACATACGAGTTCTCCTGGGCTAGGATATAGTGCTGCAGCCACGCAATGTTCTGGTCTGCCACCTGAGCCTGCTGCGGGCTCAGCA